TTGCAGTCCATGTTTAGCATTACTTTGCCTGCTGCGCTTTGATGCCCTGATGAAGAAAGCTCCAAAACCTCGCAGCTTCCAAGAGTAGGCATACCAAAACTACATGAGCTATAGTCTAAACTCCTAGCATCCCCCTTATAATTCCTATAGTAGTCCTATATATAGTCCCTTATATAACCCCCTTTAAGGAGTTTAGACTATAGCTCACATGGCAAAGACACAACAAAAGACGCCCAGGCATGAACCACTCTTGGGGGGGCGCAGTGGCAAGTCTACGGACAGCTGAAAACAGAGGAAGTGACTTTCCATAAGCTACAGATTCGGTGACCAAAAACATTCTACGCCATGACACCCTTTGAAGTTGCTTCCGGCCTCCTGTTGCAAGTTCCCAGACCCCCGGGAGGATCTAGAAAGTAGAACCCTCGTTATGGTACCCTATACTACTACTGGGTAATTTCTAGGAACCCTTAAGGGGGATCTACTTTCTAGATTCTCCCAGGGGTCTGGGTTGCCGACAGCTACGAAACATCGCCATAGAAATGCAGGAGAAACTTCCCCCCTCTGGCCTGCAACCTCAAACCCTAAACCCTCAACTCGACCACATTCGCGAACTGCTGAATCCTGAGACTCGCCAATGAGACTGAATGAGGCTACGCTGGATCTAGAGGTGTGGTCCATGAGGGTCTCTGGCATAGTGTTCTAGACGGAAGAACAATCATCTAAAACGCACGGTAGCAGGATTATTCGATTCCCCTTCAAGGACAGAAGCCACTAATGGAATCCAATTCTTATGGTCCTGGGCCAAAATCTGAAAAACGAAACCTTGCCCTGAGAGATTATTGCCAATGTGGGAAAGCATCCTTAGAGCCTGCGAGTGTTTTAAACAGTGACCAAGTGCTTCAGGGCTATGAGCGGTTCTTCTGATGTGCAAAGTTCTCTTTGAGCACTAATTGGCTGTGCGTCTTTGCGGTAGAATTAGAAACAAAGGTGCTGGACAAGCAACCCCCTTTTCTGCTCGATCTCGCATTGGGCACGTCAAGACCTTTCTGCACGGATTGTGCTCCGCGCATTGGACCTTGCGATATCTCGCGAATACAGACGTTCCAACTCTGCTTTCCAAAGCTCAACACCGAAATCCGCTCATAAATCATTGGTGATCCCTGTAAGTATCTAAAAGCCCGAGGACGGAGCGTGTCAACTTCGGCTGTCCGCAGTGAGAGTAGAAATAGCAGGCATAGTCGTAAGGTGACTACAAAAGAGCGCAGCTGAACCTCTCTAGAATCACGATCTTTGTGCCCAGGGACTTTCACACCTTTCTCTAAAGGCACGGATACCGTAAAAGCATAGCAGTCATTGACAACATTCCTTCCTCCTGCGTATGAATCCAACCCACCCCATCACCTGACTCTGATTATGTGGGACCTTGCGGTACACTCGTCTTCCTGGACGCGTGTCAGAAAGTGTAACTCTACCCGAACCTAAACCCAACAGCTCAACCCAAGTTCAACTGCTCCTCTGCGCTGGAAATGTATGGATAGCACGGCAGTTGCAGTCTTTGGGAAGGCTCTAGTATACTAGAGTCATTGTTTTACGGCGTAAGGTTTCCTGAGTTTTGCCGAAGCCAGCAAGTTTCGAGAGTACATGGAGGCATGGATCCTCTCCCCCCTGCTCCGTTGAGTTTGGGTTTTGGGCATGGCAGTTCTCTGAATGAGTGACCAAGAATGCTATTTTTGTAGTGCTACCACCGTTCAGTCCTGCCATGCCCTGCTGTTTTGCACAGGCATTACTTTTTGATGATTGCCTGTGACCTTTCTTCGCCCCAACCTGTCTACTGCAAGCACAAACCACGGAATACCCAATCCTAAACCCTAAACCGTGAAGGGTCCTAGGGATCCAACTAGCCCAATGTAGGTTATAATTTACATACTTTGGGGCCCATGTATACTTGGATCCCTAGGGTTAACTTTCGAGTTGATGCCTCACAGACGGAAGTTGTACTGCGTCTGCATCTGCAAGCTGGCGGACACTTTACAGTCAAGACTTTGCTGCAGCCTGGAAGCCACGTTCACCACAAGAACGATGGGATGGTATTGAACTTCTCGGCCTCCCTAAACCCTACATACCCCTATATGACCCCTATATCCCCCTTTTACAGGTACCAACATGAGACCCCAAATTCGGGCCCTACCCTACACCCTAGACCCTATATACCCCTATTGAGGAACGGGATAAGTCACTACGGTAGAGGCCCCAGAGACCACAAACCCAGTCCCTATACTTAGGAGCTTTCCGGGTCAGAAATCAAGCGCGTTGAGGAATTACGGGTTCATTTCGCCACATGCTGGGGCAAACTCGTCGAGGTTCGGCACGGTAGAAGCATGAACTACTGTTACATGTCTGTTCCCCACCGATATTTGGGAAGATTCCCTCTATTGGGCCTGCACTGCTCTAGGACCCGTACTACCCTCAGAACTCCGATGGAAATACAACAACAGTCAGCTGTCAAACCCAAGGCTGATATGTTGCCATGGATGTGTGAAATCTAATCCATAAGTTATGAGAGGCATAACCTGGGTTGCTGCTAAGGAACTTAACTTAAGCTACCATGTCGGGCACATATATATATATATGTACATATAGATTAAGATGGTTTCCCTTATATAAACTTATATGAAATTCCTTGACACGTGAGGTCGTTTCAGGAATGTCCCCGTTCCTAGTACTGGAATGTCTTCGAGGCTGCGTCGGCCCTGATGAGTAAAGGATCCAAGAAAGCTTCAACATACTCTGCCCCAGCGAACTCAACATATCTCAAATGATACATGTGAGGCATCATGTATACTCATGATCTATTCAAGCGGGTGCCTCCGATTCAGGCAAGAATACCCTGAGAAAGCTGAGAAACCCTCATGCAAAGACTTATCCTGCGATTTACGGTGCACAAGCTTATCAAGTCTCTCACCCAAGCTTTTTCTTGAAAGACTCATGTTTGTTCTCCGTAGTCTGATTCCGTGGACGCTCGATATAAAAACTGCCGGCGAACGACTGCACAAAAATCAGCGAGTAAGACTCAGGAGCTCGTAGCAATACAATTTCTTCTAAGATGCATGACAATCGTCTTGCTGAGCTTTGATTGCTGACTGTTTGGCAGCCCTTCATTTCTAGAGCCGCCAACTACAGGGACTCTGAATCCATGCTGTGATCATTGCATTCTTATTCGATGAATGTGTGAAACTGCTCCAAAGCCAAGTTCCGACACGGATGATGCGCATGGAAAGGCACGAGCTCGATGAACCCTGAACATTACAACCCTGAAGCCCCACTGTGTGTTGAAGCTTCCTTGGAAACAGGTGCACTGCGCAGAAACCTCGCCGTGACCTATTGGCGCAAACTCCCCAACAGTTGAAAATGCTACAATATACTCTATAGTATACTCTAATACTATAGTATACTATGCTAAACTCTAATATATTATAATCTACTACTATAATATGAAATAAGTATACTATAGTAAGCTCCAATATATTATAATATACTATTGTAATATGAAATAAAATACTATAGTATAGTATAATATACTATTATATACTAAGTTTCTTCCTGGAGCAGAACTGGATTCGGGGTTTAGGGCCAGGCAACGGAAGATCTGAATAGGGATATTGGAAAAGAACATGGAAACTACTACATACATTGTATAGGGGTATTATAGGATTTAGGGTTTAGGGACAATGGAAGAGAACATGGAAATTACTACATGATATAGGGTTATATAATGGAAGCTACTACTACATTATATAGGATTACATAGAGTTCTGGAGGTCTAACACCGGTTACTGACAAGGGCATGTACGCACTCTTAGAAGGCTATGAACCTGAGCCAGCGGAATGTCACTCTTAAGGAGGGTTTAGGGTTTGGGGTTTAGGGTTATAGGTTTAAGGCCCAAACGTCCATAAAACTCACTAAGCAAACTTTGCACCCCTGTTTTCCCTCCAGTCTATCTTTGACAGTTCTGCAAAGTCAGATCAGCTGTCTCAACTCCTGCAAAAGGCATCTGTGCAGACTTTTTTGTCCTTCAACAACCAAACCCGGATATCCTAACCCTGCACCTAGCACACTTCAATGTATATGAGCTATGGTAATGCTATAGTCTAAAGTCCTGGTATCTCCCTTAATAGCCCCCATGATCTTCCCTTATATAACCCGCCTTCGAGGAGTTGACTATAGCTCATACGGATGACGCACCGGGAAGCACAAAAGGCTCACCGGTCCTTCTGAAGCCGCTGAGCTCCAAGACAACTTGACAACAGAGTCTACTTCAACCCTAAAGTATGTAGAATGATAGCCTCTCGGGCTGTTTTTTTTTCGGGCTTCGGGCTATGATCTTACATACTTGTAGGGTTCAGGTACCAACTTGAAGACAAGTTTTTGGGTTACAGGCGGGGTATATACGGATGTCTAGCGTTTCGGGTTTAAGGCTTCCCGAAATTAGGGGCACTTTTTTGGGGTCGCCCTATTAAGAGTCAAACTATATTGGGGTCCTCTTATTTTTTAGGGAAATTACCAAGGGAGACTTTGTAAAGAAAACCAGAAAGGCATTTCCGCGTGCAGTCATAACTCGCGTGTATATGCAAGAGAGTGTTTGAAACTGGTTGACCACAAACATAGGAGCATGTTGTCCACTAAGAAGTCAGACTTGACAAAGTCTTTATTGGAGAGCCACATAGGCCCATGAGCCGAAAGGGCCCCTCGCAAATTTACAAAATGTAGTAGTCCTGTAGAGAGAATGCGCAGACTGAAAATCCCACCGGGGGTCGCATGACTGTGAGATGTCTCAGAGACTATCAATACCCGAGCCCAAAAAGTATGTAGAATAAGAGCCTCCTTTTGGGCTACCTTTAGGGGCTTGAGGCTATTGTTTTAGCTACTTTTGGGGTCCAGGTACTGCCCAGGGCAGTACGCCTCTGAGGCGACACTTGGGGGAGCCGCGCCGTTTGGGAATTTACATGATTCGAATTCCACCTTGTGCATCGATGAAATGCCGGGAAGGGTGCAAGTGAAGGATGCCCCCTGGCCTTCCTCCAGCATTTGAGAGTATATTGGGATAATGGAAAAGAAAATGGAATGTATAGGAATTATAAGGATTCTATAGAGACTTTATAGGGATAATCTAGGGTATATATTGGGGTTATATTGGGATAATGGAAAATAAAAATGGAAGCTACTATTTAGGGTTCAGGGTTTCAGCATCTCAGGGTATTATCTTGGGATAATGAAAGCTATTATTTAGGATTTAGGGTCTAGGGTTTTGGGTTTAGGGTTTAGGGATGCCAAGAGGATCCCTCAACTGAGAAACCCTCAGCCCTGGTATGTATCTGCTTCAATGCAAGGCTGTTTCTCGGCCCTCCGGGGGTTAGGTTTATAGGGATTGTATGAGCTATCGTCTAAACTCCTTAAAGGGGATTATATAGGGGATTATATACGTATAGGGGGATGAGGATGGGGCTTCAGGCTTACGGGTTTGGGGCTCAGTACGTAGGTTGCGCAAATACCACACGGATCACACTTCCCTGGATTGCTGTTACGGAACTTGATTTAAGCTACTGTATTGGGAAACCCTATTCTATACTCTCTCCATATATACATATATATATATAGATAAATACATAGATATAGCCAGTATGGTAGCTTTATGTAAATTCTTAGCAGCAACCCAGTTCCACAAACTTGCTTCCACCCGCGCCCCTACCTGCATTTCACCACTTTCTCACCGCGTCAGAGCTGCGGAGTCGGGAATCTCACTGGGCAAGAATCTGGTTTAAGGTCTATCATGGCTTCAACTAGTACCCCCCTCTATACTAACCCCCCCTAGGTTCCCCCTTAATTAACCTTAATTAAGCCTAATCATCCCTTAATAACCTTGATTAATTAAGGGTGGAACCTAGGGGGGAGTAGTATAGAGGGGGGTACTAGTTGAACCCATAATTTTAACCCCGCTCCCTCCAGCCTCCTCCTCCTTCGGCGTGGCTTCTTCAAGCAGAGCCTGCTCCTGGGCCACACGCGCAGCCTGCCGCTTGGAGAGGCGGGCTCAGGTTTAGGATTTAGGGTTTAGGATTTATGGATTCCTGAACCAAGTATAGCCAAGAAGGCCATTATTCTACATACTTTTGGGCATCAGCTTAGGCTGTTCATGATACAGGGTCCAGCTGGGCCCGGCAGTTTAGTTCCCCTGCAATGCTTGTAGTTCAGCTCAGGGTCGGGCATGGTGTATTGATTCGGACTTTTGTTTTGGTGTTTTTTTGGAATGAGAGCTTCAGTTGTTCGAGTCTTTCGTCAGGCTGCTGATTCAGTTGCACGGCAAGGTTTTTCGGCTTGGCGCTAGGGGCGCATGAGCGGAATTCCTGGGTAGAGGGTTCTTGACAGATGCCTCTCAACAAGCGACCTCAGTTCCAGAGCCTCCTACAGCATCGCCGCTTTATGGATGTACCTCTTCAGCATCAATACTGGGGAACTGGTAGTACTGCTCATGCTCCCATACCCCACATCCATGTCAAGACTATGTGCTTTTAGGGGTTCCTCCTACCACCGAGACAGATGTACTTTGACGACCTTATATACATGGTTTTACAAGCCCTTACATCGTTCCTCCCGCGGTTGATCCCCGGACAAGTCTTTGACCAGATACCCTCGCCAAAGCCATCATCATACAAACTGCGCTCGTCATACCTCGATGGCCGAATATATGTATGTGCAAGCACTTATATAATAATACGGTACTCAGTAAACCCAACCCAAAGTACTGAAACCATACATTGATGCCCGACTTCCAAGAACAGGGCACTTCTTGTATCCCGGTACTTTTATCCTTATCGTAGGAAGCCGGAAAAAATGTGACGCCCTAATTCTGCGAAAAAAATCTCAACACTGAACCCTAAAACCCAAACTCGCAACAATATCATTACTCCTTAAACCCTGTACCCCCAGAACTTCCTATAGAATCCTTGTGGCCTCCTGCTCCTGCTTGCGTGCCGCTTCTTCAGCCTGCGCACGCTCCCACGCGACTTGCTGGGCTTTGGCCTGGCCAGCCAATGGTAGTCTGGCATCTAAATTAGGGGTGCCCTTCATTAATCTGTTCCTTGAAAAGGGGAAGCGGGACATGTAGGGCTTAGGGATGAGAAGCTTAATTTAGCTTGAATGCTTAAGGTTGAAGGTCTAGGGTTTGGGAAAGGTTTAAAAGCTAGGCGCCAGGGTGTGCTAGGTTACGAAGGGATCCAAGCCTCCACAGCACACACAAACGTGAGGACCCCATGGCCTCATGTATTTGGAATGTCGTGCATGCGCTGTTGCCTTTTACTTGAAACTAGAACGTGTATACGGCTCTCCAGATCGCACTTGGTGTTGGGCATGAGATCGGTACAAGCCCCACCAAGGATGGTACGAAAGTTGCAGTTCTGTCCCGCCTCATCTTGAAGGTGCTTCTGTGCGTTTGCCTGCGCGGTTTGCAGAAAATCGCCGCAGGCTTGGTGCGCGGCTTCTGCGGCTAACCTTCGCTCCTCAACCATTTGCTCTTCTGTTTGCTGACGCGCAAGCATTGCTGCTCGCTCTGCTTCTGCTTGCTTCTGTGCTTGAGCTTTTGCCGACCCCGCCTCCAGAAATTGCGAGCAAGCTATGCGCGCGGCTTCTGCAGCTGTAGCCCGCTCTGCGGCCAGTCTGGTTGCTTCTGTTCTGTGTGCTGCTTCCTTTGCCAAAGCCTGCCCTCTTGCCAAGCGCTCAGCCTCTTCGCGACGTGCAACTTCCGCAGCTGCAGCTTCTGCTGTTGTTTCTGCTGCCTGCTTGTCCGCTTCCCTCCTTGCCACCTCCAATACTTGGCTGCAAGAATTGCGAGCCACGTCGGCTGCCCTTGCTCGCTCCGCGGCGATCCTCTGCTCCTCCTCGTGGCGTGCAACTGGGGTGATTAAGGGGGATGCCCTAAACCCAAAACCTTAGACCAAAGCTCGTATGAGACTTTCCGAAGTCACGCTTGCAAAATCTTTGTGCAAGGAGTTGAGACACGGACTCCGCGGGGACTCAGAGGAAGTAGGGTTTAGGGTTTAGGGATTAGGGTTTAGGGATTAGGGTTTAGGGTTTAGGGTTTAGGGTTTCCCTGCATGGCTTCGGGCGTACGAGCCACACTGTACTGATCTAGGAAATGTCTTATGTACTGTCCGAAAATTTTCCTGTCGAGAGTAATCCCTAAACCCTAAACCTTAATCCCCAGCTAGCTTAGATACTCACCTGGGAGTCCCATCAATGATGTTCATGGGCCCCTCATGGCCCTTGTGCTGGTATTAATCCCCTCCCTGTAAAATTAACCCCCCCCCACCCCCCAACCCCCCAATATTATGTACTCCCCATTGCGGTAAATTTGAGGCGGGGCGGGGGAGTTGAATATGAGGGGGAGAAAATTAGTTTCTGCGGCCGCGTGCAGTCCTCAGCAGCGATGCGCGCAGCATGAACAGCTTTAGCATGCTCTGCCTTCCTCAGTTGAAAGGTCGGCTTATCCCCTATCCAAATCCTAAATTAGCCCAATGTTGGTGATGTTTGCAGACTTCTGGGCCCGATGTAGGCATCATTTCTATACTGTCATTCCTAGAGATTGTCATGCACAGTGCGCACTAGAAGGGTCCGGTTGTGTGAGTGAGTCTGTATTGAACTACCCAAGGACCATATACGAAGGCCACCCCCATCACCCTTGTTAACCTACCAACGGCTTAAGAGTTCAGCACATTGTGCAATGCACGGTAGGGGCTTGAATAATTAGGAATGATATGCCAGTGCGGTCCTTGCGTGTCCTTAGGTAAATACAACCATATGTATATACACATGTATGTATATGCATACATATGCACACATATATATATATACGTGTGTATACATAAATACGAAAGCCCACAAACCCTCAAAAACACATACCTTAAATCCACAACTCTATTCTACTTATTGAAGCCCATACATTGGCTCCGGGTGCGTAGGGTTGAGAATGCCTCGGGTCCAGGGCTGGTTAGGGTGTCCAGTTTAATCGCTTTCGCAACTCTGCTTGGGTATACAGACCCTGTGGGGCTTACCGAAAATTAGGAATGCCTTTTCGGTGGTTGCTGTAACGGTGGTTTTGGGTTTTCTGGTCAGCATGAGGGGACACTTTTTTGTGCATCCCCAACCCACTCACCTTTCATAGAAGACTCCCTGGTGTCCAGTTTGGCATTCTCTCGACATGGGCCTGCTTTGGTGTAATCATAAAGGATGCCAATACCACGAGGGGTAGAGGAGCCGTTTGAACCAGCTCCCAATGGTTCGAAACAGAATCGAACTTTTGTCGTGGCCATGAAGCCCCGACAAAACTCTGCGCGGGGGGCAGCTATGCAAGGGGCCTTAGGCAAATCAACGGGGTCCTTTGGGAAAGGGGCCCAACATGTGGCAGTGTCGGGGGGACCCCAACAAACCCCGAAATACTGGTCCTTATCATGGCGACCCCAAAAAAGATACCCCTAATTTTGGACACCCTCCATGTGAGACCAAACTCTTCAATGTCGGGAGTGAAAACAGAAGAGTAGCATTTTTTTGGTGGTTGAACCTCGTAAGATAATATTCCTTATATGAAATACTATACCCCAAAAGGAGGATAGAATCTTACTCTACAATGGGTACCATAGTATCCCCAAATAAAATCCTGCCTCCCCAATATGACCCCTATATAACCCCAGTTTCCATTTCATTTTCCATTTTCTTTTCCATTTGATTCTCCATTATAGGCCCTAAACCCTATAATATTGGGTACCATAATATCCCCAAATAAAACCCTAAACCCTAAATCCCCAAATAGAATACTACTCAGAAGAAAGGAGTCGCCCAGGCTACGGAGTGGAACTGCCTCACCCCTTCGACGCTGCTTGGGGGCTTCTCAGATTTGTTGCAAAACCCTGGTGATAAGGTTAAGGGTGATAAGGTTTAGGGTTCAGGGTTTAGGGTTTCAAAACCCGGTGATAAGGTTTACATATATCCCAAGAGTATGCACAATAATAACCCTCAACCCATACTCACAACCATAAAGGCCATCATTTTACATGCTTTGGGATCCAGGTTTGGCTATAAGTAACCCCTAGATAAACCCAGTTTCCATTTCATTTTCCATTTTCTTTTCCATTTGATTCTCCATTCTGCTGAAATCAAGGTTCGAGTCATCCAGCTGCTCAGACGAGTTGATTGCCTTGTCGGTGGCCTCTTTGAGCAAGGTTTCCCTTGCGACGTCTCCATCAGAGAGGTCATTCTGCAAACGCTGGATGCTGGCAGTCAACTCCTCAGCGACTGCAGCTGGTTTGGAAGCATCCGATGCCCTTCCTTCCTGTGCGGTTGCAAGCTCTGCGCGTAGCTGCTCCAGCTGTGATGTCAACTTCTCCATGTCTTCTTTGCCCCTAGCCTCCAAGGAGTCACCCCTCTCTACGGCCGCTGAATGCTCTGCCTGCCACTTGGAGACCTGTTCTGTCAGCTCTTCGATTTGGGCCAAAGCTTCCTTTTGTTCGCTGGAATGCACCTCAGCTGCGCTGCTGGCACTATCTTGCAGACGCTTGATTGTGGCATTTAGCTCCTCGGCATCAGCAGCTGCCTTGGAAGAATCCCATGCTCTTCCTTCAAGCTCGGATGCCAGCTTAGCACGAAGCTGTTCCAGCTGCGATGTCAAGATCTCCACGTCTTCCTTGCCCTTAGCCTCCTGTTCTGTCAGCTCCGCAATTTTGGTCAGAGCAACCTTCTTTTCGCTGGCATGAGTCTCAGCTGCACTGCTGGCACTATCTTGCAGGCGCTTGATAGTAACATTTAGCTCCTCGGCATCGGCAGCTGCTTTGGAAGCATCCGATGCCCTTCCTTTCTGTGCGGTTGCAAGCTCTGCGTGTAGCTGCTCCAGCTGTGACGCTAAGTTCTCCACGTCTTCTTTGCCCCTGGCCTCCAAGGAGTCACCCCTCTCTACGGCCGCTGAATGCTCTGCCTGCCACTTGGAGACCTGTTCTGTCAGCTCTTCGATTTGGGCCAAAGCTTCCTTTTGTTCGGTGAAATGCACCTCAGCTGCGCTGCTGGCACTATCTTGCAGACGCTTGATTGTGGCATTTAGCTCCTCGGCATCAGCAGCTGCCTTGGAAGAATCCCATGCTCTTCCTGCCAACTCAGATGCCAGCTCAGCATGAAGCTGTTCCAGCTGCGATGTCAAGTTCTCCACGTCTGCCTTGCCCTTAGCCTCCAAGGAGTCACCCCTCTCTACGGCTGCGGAATGCTCTGCCTGCCACTTGGAGACCTGTTCTGTCAGCTCCTCAATGTTGGCCAAAGCTTCTTTTTGCTCTGTGGAGCGAGCCTGAGTGCGCAGAAAAACCCTGATGCCCAACCCTAAGCTCTAGCGCTTGAACCCTAAATCCCAACCCAAACCCCTGGTAGGGATCTAAAAATTAGATCCCGTATATAGACCCATTATAACCCCTATATAATCCTAAACCCTAAACCCTAAACCCTAAGCCCTAAACCCTAAACCCTCCAAAAAAAGCTCCCTATGGTTCTAGGGGATCTAATTTCTAGATCCTCCCGGGGTCTGGGCAAGACTTAAGCCACGTTGCCTCAGCTTCTGTGGATGCCGTGTCCTGCAGCTCTTTGATCCGGTCATTGGCTCTTCTGAGCTCCTGCCCAGCTTTTTTTGGAGGGTTTAGGGTTTAAGGGTTAGGGCTTAGGGTTTAGGGATTAGGGTTCAGGTTATCACGTGGACGCTCTAATTCAAATTGATCTACAAGGTCATATAAATCACGCATATACATACATATATGTATATATGCATATCAGCAATGGAAAAATGATTGAGTTTACAGGGGCTAGATAATGGCAAGGGAAATGAAGATGCAAACAACGATGTGTCTTTTGCTTTTCCGTTTAGGGTTGCGATGTGCGACCGTTTGGGTGCAGGGGAGCCTCATGTTTTGCAGCTATAAGTTACTGGTTCTTAGTAGGAAATAAGGAAATATGTAATATTGGGACTACATATAGGAATTTTATTCCCTTAGCTCCTACTAAGTAGCCGTAAGATAATGATAAAGTTTCCCCGAAAATACACTTGCATCGCATCGCCCCAACAATCCAATGACAGGAGGATGAGAATCTGCATTGATAAGAGAGAGGAGGTTGCTTTAGATAAGGGAAGGTATCAGGCAATGGCTGCCAGACATACAACATCGCGAAGCAGAATCTCAACCCGAAACCCAACTCCGCACCTGTCAGACAGTAACCCCAGCACGGAGGGTTTTACAAGCCCTTAAATCGTTCCTCCCGCAGTTGATCCCCGGACAAGTCTTTGACCAGATACACTCGCCAAAGCCATCATCATGCAAACTGCCCTCGTCATACCTCGATGGCCGAATATGTGTATGTGCATAATGCAAATCTCAGTAAACCCAACCCAAAATACTGAAACCATACATTGATGCCCGACTTCCAAGAACAGGGCTTGGAATGTCGAGCATGCGCTGTTGCCTTTTACTGAAAACTAGAACGTGTATAGGGCTGTCCAGATCGCACTTGGTGTTGGACATGAGATCGGTACAGGCCCCACCAATCATGGTACAAAAGTTGCAGTTCTGTCCCGCCTCATCTTGAAGGTGCTTCTGTGCGTTTGCCTGCGCGGTTTTAAGAAAATCGCCGCAGGCTTGGTGCGCGGCTTCTGCGACTAACCTTCGCCCCTCAACCACTTGCTCTTCTGTTTGCTGACGTGCAAGCATTGCTGCTTGCTCTGCTTCTGCTTGCTTCTGTGCTTGAGCTTTTGCCGACCCCGCCTCCAGAAATTGCGAGCAAGCTATGCGCGCGGCTTCTGCAGCTGTAGCCCGCTCTGCGGCCAGTCTGGCTGCTTCTGCTCTCTGTGCTGCTTCCTTTGCCAAAGCCTGCTCTCTTGCCAAGCGCTCAGCCTCTTCGCGATGTGCAACTATGCTCAAACATGCGCAACTTTGTTTCAATATTATGCAACTGCATAACCACGTCTACTCAACCGAGCCCGACGCAGAATCAACTATACAACTATACAACGATACAACCAACTGAGTCTTTGCGGCGTCCCATATGTGGAGCACACCCTTCCTTGCTCGAGCTGGACCTTCAAAATACAATAACAATTGCCCATATTGGGGTTGCTCCAAAAGCAATTTGCAAAAAGGAGAAACCATTGGGAATACCCATCCATAAATGGGGTCCTAACCAAGTAGGGAATCCAGCTTACTGGTTTGTTGGGGATAGGTATTTTCGAACAACTACTACATGCCCTTGTATGGTAGTGTTAACAGGCGCGTTTGCGAGGTCTCAGCGGTAAGTATGTACACAGTCCGATTTCGGCCCACGTCGCGTTAAACATCCTTCACGTCATGGAGAATCAGCTGGAAAGAAAAGAAACATGCAACGAAATCGCTGGCGATTTTAAGATCCTGCCAGAAAAAATGCCATACAGCCACAAGAGGGGAAGAGGGGTCCCCCCTCAACCTGGCCATTTTATAGCAATTTGAAACATGAGGCTAAACCAAGTAGGTTTGGTCTTCTATGCCGAACCACCAACTGGGGTGCCCTGCGGGGTACGGTCGTTATATGCTTTTTTTTGTCTAAACTCGCAGTATCCCCCTTAATAACCCCTATAGTAGTCCCCTAAATAATCCCCTGTACGGAGTTTAGACCCCTAAACCCTATCTCTATATATATATATATATGTATATATTCCCCCATAGAACCCCCTTTACGGAATTTAGATTATAGCTTGTATTGCGCTCCAGGATGAGACAATGGAGAACTGGGGCTCCAGGATGCCATCAAGGGGACCCTCCGGTAGGGTTTAGGGTATAGGTTAGGAGGACCCCCTACCCAGTAATAGTGACTATTCGGGATAATAGGAATTATATTAGGGTCCTCTTATATTCCTATTATACCACTATTACAGGGTGGGAGGTTTTTGGGCTCTTATGTTACCTACTTTTGAGGTTCAGGACGTTAGTATAAGTTGGGTCATTCCCCCTTGCAGTACCTGTTACCACCATGGGTTATAGGAGTTATACGAAGCCCGTTAATAAGGCTCCTTCAAGGACAGTTACTGGGAGGGGGAATGACCCAAGGTATAGGGTTATAGGTTAGGACCCGGTGCTAAAAAGGTTAGCCTTACAGTTAGACATAAGGGTTGTCCTCAAAAATATGGGCCCCTATTGGTTATAGATTATATTACGGCACCATAAATGGGAGCCTAGTTTTAGGAACTGAGGGTTGCCTACTCAACTACAAAGTCCTAAATCCGAGATGGTCTACTACTTGAGGACTACGAAGCTATGATAGTAAGGCTTGCATTATTGGGTCTACATCGGGTCCGCTGTTTACGGAAGCCCCAGATTCGATCCAGAATTTGGGGCCTCGAGCTGCTTGGTTAGGTCGGCTTCCCTCGCCTCTGACTTTGCCAGGAGCTCATCCTTGGGGTGCTAAACTTGAAGCCATAAACTCTAAACCGGCGTTTGAATTCAGATGTTCAGGGTACAGGGTGAAGACTTTGAGGGTTTATGGGGTTTGGGGTAGACCAGAGCCTAAACCTTAAACCCTGCACCCACAATCCTAAACACCTAGACTATGGGCTGAGTTTTGTCAGCTAAGTCAAGGCATCACAGTCATGCCAAGCTTCGAACAAATTTAGGGGTTCACTGGGAGGTTGTCTGGATGCTGAAAAGTAGGATGAAGACCTGTATTCCAAGGGGGCCTCGGTACCAGGACCCTCCGTCTGTACCCTTAAATAGGGGTATATAGTCGCTAAGTAAGGGTATGTAGACGGTACAGTAGATGGAGGGTCTAGGTAATTACTAACATACTTTTGAAATCCATTCGAGAGGCTCAAAACCAGAATTACAATGCAGGACCACAATATGGATCAATATTCAGATTTCTGCATTAGAGCCGTTTGTTGCACGGAGATCTTTTCTGCCTGTGCTTAGAACTATGCATGAACCGTCTCAGAGTAGTGTCATGGGCCCACTAAGGCCGCCCCACAAATTATAGCCTTACTCGGCATGATTTAGGACTGTTGAGGCTTGCCACGGCAGGCCTTTTGAGTTTGAGGTGTGCATATCTGGCGGTTTCCAAAAATTAGGGGTACCTTTTGGTGGTGCCTTTAATTAGGACATATTAGGACTATAATATTTTGGGGTCTATAGTGGGGGTTCCCTTATTTAGGGAAACTACCGTGTAGTGCTTAGAATTTTGAGGCTCAGCTTAGGCTTGGCAGACTGAAGTTCATCAAGCTTCTCATACTGAATCCCTGTACAAAACCCTGTTTATACATCGCTTCTCCGGTGGAAACTCAAATAAGTCCTAACTGGGGTTTATTTAGGCCTTGTCTGGGGGGAGTAGGAAGGGGTGCTGTGGTGTGGATTTAGGATTTGGGGTTTCATGATACTATAGCCGCCTGCAATGAAAGTGCCATTCAATATGGCAGTCGATGATGATGAGGTTCTGCGGGCTAGACGAGCACTATGTGCTATGATGCTGAGAAAGCTCCACTTGTTTCCCTTCTTGAGGTCAACGAGACTTTAACTCGTAGTGGGCATCCAGATACATCATGAAGTGTCAGTGAACTTCCAGGCAACTGTTCGCGCAAGGGTGCCAGGGAACAGGCACGAAATTTGCACAACTGCCCACTGATGGTATTATTCAAGGCCTCAACCCTAAACATTAAACATCCTACACCCTAAGCCCATCACCCCAACACTCTCGACCCCCCGATCCCAAAAAATCTGGACACTAAACCTAGAGCCCTTGGACCACCCGCACGCCTTCGCAGCTGTCAGCTCCTTTACCTGCCAAGCTCCGTTGGCTTGAGGATAGGGTTGAGGGTGTAGGGCTTATGGCCCAGGGTTTAGGGGGCAGGTTGTTTTTTTGTCAGACCTTTTCTGACCCTAAACCCTAAACCCTAAACCCTAAACCCTAAACCCTAACATGATCCTTTAGAAACAACTTACGGTACGGTCCACACTCCGACCCAGCTCAACCAACAAGATCCCTACAGGTGAATCTCCTGCAGGGATGCAAAAAGCTGGGTTGCTGTTAAGGAACTTAAATTAAGTTACTATATTGGGGAGACCCTACTATTTACTATATATATATATACCCATTATGGGAACTTAATTTAAGTTCCTTAACAGCAACCCAGAAAAGGCATGACAGCAGCTCAAAAGCGTTACACTCCGCTGCTCTTCCGAATTGGGTAGAAAGCCAGCGGGCAGGGTTTCGGGCTCAGATAACTCGACTGTATGAAGGAAGGCGTTGTACACGGGTTCACGGGGATTCTTCCGGCGCCTGACATAATTGATCCTAGGGGACGATTTCGTTGGAGAGCTATTTCGTTGGAGAATTGTTTGTAGCTAAACCTTACACCCTTCGCTCCAAGTATTTCACTGGGGTGTCTGCACGAGGTGTGGAACATTTACCTTGCAACATAGTTTCATGGTTGCCTCCAAGACCTTCCTGAGACCTACATACTGCACTCTGCACCCGAGAGCCCAATGCGGGTAAGCACCATCGTGCCTGCGCGGACAATTGAGGAACGTGTTTTTTGGTGGTTGAACCTAGTAAGATTGTATTCTTTATATAAAATACTATACCCCAAAAGGAGGATAGAATCTTA